TATAACACAAAGACACGCCCATATTTTTAGAAATGAGAAAGAAATATTCGTCTTAATGTTTTAGGACACTGCACTCTTCACGACAAGCAACATGAGTTGCAATGAAATGGAGCTTTAAAAAATTAGAAGAGAGATTAGAGAAGTAAAACACAAATTGCAATGAATATGTATATATTTTTTAATTTATCATATCTATTGAAGTTACCACAACACATGCTTCGGTCGAACACGTGTTTACTCAGTGTTCATTTAGACCGTCAATTTGATTGGCTATTGTATTTATGGAAAACCTGTTTTACAGGTATTCGGATAAAGAAATGGAGAGTTTTATCCATTTCTAGAGAAATGCACGTGTCATCATATGACAATCAACGTTCTAAAGATAGCTTGAAACGATCCATTCGAACGGAAAATTTTACCACTTCAATGCACTTCATTGTAGCAATGGTAAGCCAAGATTTGTCAACGGAGAAGAAAATACTTCCGTTCCTACCTCATTAAAAAATTGACCAATGTGAGTTAAGTATAGAAAATGAATATGACGAGACCTTTCCATACCCAATGGGACTAAATAGAGCATACCCGATATCTTATTTACTATTAATGTCAATTGTTGATTTCAATTGCAATGAAAAATAAAGGTAATTTATTTTCATTAGTTTAACATGACATCACAGCATAGAGGTAATAATTTAAGATTACGACACTTTAAGTGATCAAGAAGCCACTGATAGGAGAGCGCTTTTTGTGCTCCATACCAAATGCTTGAGAAGAAGATCTACTGCATCTACGGAATGTTTGGACAAATACAAAGATTATTCAGTCAAGAAAAATCATATCCCCTGAGGGCTTTGCTTTTTTTTCTTGGCTGAATAAATCTTCATATTTCCCACACAATAAATTGTTTATTATGCTGAATCAAGCCAAACTTTGAAAATAAGCTCTGTGACTTTTAAATTTGGCACTATTCTTTCAGTTGAAAAAAGTCGCTGGAACACTTTACTACTTAAGTCCCAATGGACACTTCATTAACAATTTTTTAAAAAGTTTTTGTTCAATGAATGATAAACACTTAATTGCAGGAAAATGCACAGATCTCCTAAGACCTCTTAATAAAATGAATTATACAAAAAGAATGATGAAAACAAGGAAATATGAAATTTGATGGCCCTGTTTAGAATTAATCCAATTAATGCATGGTGACTAGAACAGAATCTTAACGATGAAATAAAATTCAAAAATTTGTGCACACTGAAAACTTTCAAAATATTTTTAAGGAGCAATAGAAGGGATATTTTTTCACTAACATTCAAACAGTACTCTGAGGTCAAAGCTCAGTTACTTTTATACATAATAATGATACCCTTAGTAAAACATAGTCATTATATATAGAACGAAACAAGTTACAAAATAAATTTTTCATAGCAAAGACTAATCTATAAAATTTCCAGGTCCAATTATGACTATATTACACAGAGATCATTCAGATCAGAAAGAGATTCTGTTCTCATACAGCTGCCTATTTACCAATACTTATGAGGAATCTAGTGTAGTTATTGTGTAATTTGCTGGATTTGATGACATGGAATCAATAGTGACTGTCCTTGTTAAATCAGAGACAATATACTCTATACCGGTATGTCCCCAGTGTGCCAGTTTTCCTTAAAATCTAGGAAAAAGGATCAATAAAATGCGTGTTTAATGACATCATCGGATATTCCTCTGGTGATCATTAAAATTTGTCACCAAGCAACTAATCCAGATACTGACAGAGGAATGCTTATCTCGTCTGAGATCGGATAAAGCAGCTTTGGAAATTAAAAATTAAATCCAGTCAAATCTCAGCTTTATGTCTAAACCAACAGTATGAAATTTCTTTTTGAAATCTTATCTAAGATAGATCATCTACCAACTGATCACAATCAGTTCCCATCATTTGAGGATAAAACGCTTCAGTAAACCAGCAGTATATTAAAGGATGCTATAAAATATCTTAATCGGGATCCAGGGGAGGGTTTCAATAGCTTATTTCTGTTGACCAAACCTGTTCATCATCTACTGTCAATAAAATCAAATACTGCATCCACTTCAAATACTGCATCCACTTCAAATGCAGGAAATTGATGAAGATTTTATTTGCCTCAGTGACTCCTAGCTCATGTCCTTCCTTGTGCAAACAACAGTGCAATGGACTAATGTATGAATGGAATAAAAAACTTGGCTTTTATCTATTTCACTGGTGACCACTCCAAGGTCTAGCATCACACTAATGAACTCAAAACCTAGCTAGTAACTACTACCCTATTGAATACCTCAGCTTATGAGCATACTCCTGATTTGTCACTCATTACAGAATGCCTCATCATTAAAATACTAACCTGTACTCATGGTCATTGTTTTTTTAAAGGTCACATGCAGCAACTTGAATTAATTCTTTGATGTAATAAAAGTTAAAACTTTATAGTTTGCTCTACCTGAAAGTTATATGACTCAGGAATTGACAGGAAGTTACCTGCTATAGGGACTTAAACCTTAAAATTGATGAATGTGTCCTATGTGGCCAATTAGGGAAAATGATTTGGTGTGATTTCTAAACCAGATCTATATGAAGAAAACAAACATGTTCTATGATACTAGTTTATTTGCATATTGCATGCATTGGAGAAGCTTCATATAGTGAATTATGACCAGTGAGAAAATAAGTATCCAAATTTGTAATGTTTTATCTATTTATCATATAAAATCTTTGCTATGTTAAGAGTAAAAATTTCCAGTGCATCACAGCTAAAATCAAAGATTCTTTTGAGATAGTAAAAAGCACTACCCCAACATGTACAAATTGAAGTTTCCTGTTGTTTTACATGTACAGTGTATTTATTTGACTTCCTATTTTATTAACTACATGTATAAAGAATTTGATCCAGCTGTAATTCTGTAGTTCACTTTCTGAACAATATTTGATGTACAATCAGATCATCAACATGATCAATACAGCATCATACACACAAGACATTTCAATTTACAATGTTTAGGCCTATAAAAATATGTTTGTTTCCTGTAACCCGACCGAACCATTCAAATTACCCTGAGCGGATTATTTTTCCCTACCAAGTCTGTGTTTGATCAATCACCTAATTCCATTCATTCGAAAAATATAGATTGTTGTTTTACTTGATATATAAAATATGTCAACTTAGTCACCATTTACCTTAAATATTATATAAAGAATAATCATTATTGTGCAGAATGTGTTGAAATCTTAATATATATACAGCATTCAAATCTACAATATACAACTCGCTAAATGTGAGTAAGAATGCCCTATATGCTAGTTTGAAATTTGGTAACTCACAAAAACATGAAAGTAGGGGTGAAACAGTTCAACGCGGTATCTATCCACCGCAGTATTTTTTCTTAGTTTGATACACGATACAAAATCTCCATTTTCGGTTTATTTTTTTGGGCAGGATTGTCATTCAGTCAGGTTTGGCATAAGGTATATACACGTTTCTCAGTATAATTAAGTATACAGAAACATTTTTTTTTTTGGACTGATAGTTTGTAATTTAATAATTTTTAACAGTCAAATCAATTTAATTAAATTTCATTTAGTCATTTTGCACGTAAATAATGTGTCATGACTAGATTGTCAAGGAAAGCATGAAACAATGGTTGAATTTGTTTCCTTCTATCAAAATGTATTGTATCAAAAAATAATTGTATTATTTATATGATAATTGCAAAAAGTCTTGTGAAATTGCAAGTTCACTTTTTTGGCACTCGCAATTATTTGTGAGTTGTAATTTTTGGAAGTTTTTACCCATGATACAAAATTGTTCTAATTATAATCAGACTGATAGGAGATTTTTTTTTCATACATAAACTATGAAATATAAAGGCAAGTGAGATTTTTTTGATAAAAAGCTTTTTAGCATAAATTATCCTATGTGAACTGAAGAAGGTGTATTTTGTGTTACCACCTAATATTACAGACTAATTAATCTCAGTGAGATGTTGTAGGGACTAAAAATTTTGGTCTGACTTCCACTACGACATCTCAGTCCAGTTCCATACATCGTGATTAGGGATTTTTTGCTCAAAACTTTGACCGCTTGTTTCAATGATCAATATGGGCTGAAATGAATTAGCTGCTCGCTTCAACTTTTTCCTTTGGACATCCCTTTATTAGTAATTTCAGTGAAATGTGAAGTTTTGCATTACGTCATAACCTATGCTGACAGCTGCACTCAAGGTAAATAGTGTACACATTCCTCCTATGCAACAGACTATTTCCGTGTCAATGTTGATAATATGAGTTGACCAATCACAGCGACGGCTGAATTGTTTACGCTGGATACATCTGTCGAAAAAGATCGTGACGTAATGCATAACTTCACACTAAACTGAAATTACTAATAAGTCTCTATCATGATAAAACTTTCCTTTCTTACTTTTAAAAGGTTTAAATCCAACAAAATATAAGGTTGTTGATTCTTCCTATAAATATCCCATTCATTTAAACCTCCCATGCTGAAGAGTTCCACAATAGTCTGCTTTGAGTAATTCGTTCTACTACCATTTCCTATAGGAATGAACTATAGTAGGACTGAGATGTTGTAGTGGACGTCAGACCAAAATATTTAGTCCCTACAACATCTTGCTGAGATTAATTACAGACCTGATACTGTACGATACCCTATTTTGCCGACCTTGCAATGAAGGGTTGCTTTTGCCCTTTGGATAATTGCAAGTTTACAGATAATTATGGACAAAAAATCAACGAACTTTAGTATGTATATGCATTGCACTGCCCCATCAGATAAAGCGAAACTATTATTTGTATCTCACTATCTGCACTGTAGCTTGCAGGGATCAGGGCAATTTGACGTTCCTTCTGTTCATAAATATAATTTTTGAAGGAAATAACACATAAATCACTCTTAACATACACAAATTGTTAATCAATTTAAAGCACTAAACATTAAAAACTAAATACTTACAATACTAATTTCTTCGACTTCGATACTCCTGTCAACAAATATGAAAGTCGACTGCGCATGTGCAAAAAGGGAAATAAAATAAGATTAGTTCGTACTTTAGTATTTCTAATAAAAGTGCATATATTAAAAACGAAAATTAAAATTTAGAAATTTTATTAGTTTTTCATATGCATATAAGGAATATAATATAATTTTTAAAATATGAGAAGATGAAAATTGTATTAAAAAAATTAATAACTATGAATGATTTCTAGTACGAGGTAACTCTACAAATTCCCAAAACGTTGGCATGGAAAAAGTAACAAACCCAAATAATCCTGTTGTCTTTTTTGATGTTTCGATTGGCAACACTGTATGTAGCAAGTATTAACAATAAAGACCTATTTATCACAAAGAAAGATGATTGATTTCCTTTCTACTTTTCATAGAACAATAATATTGAATTAACTCGAATTTCCTCCTATCGTGAAAATGGGATAATGGATTGAAAGTGTCAATTAAATGGCCAAATCTATATTAAATGCAAAATCAAATGCGAATTTTTTATTTTGTGTTTTGATATTTTAGGATATTGGAAGGATAAAATTTGAGTTGTTTGCTGATGTTGTTCCAAAAACGGCAGAGAATTTCAGGTAAGTTTTAATGAAGAACCAAAAACATGTATATGTACATTATAAGAAGTCATTAATATTGAAAGAGTCACAGAGTTTTTTCATAGCTAGCAAATCTTCAGCTGTTAGATAAGAGTTTTAATATAAAATGTCATCAGAAATGCTCTTTCATATACTCAATGAACATTAAAATAATTCTTTTCATCTGTACAGACAATTTTGCACAGGAGAATATAGGAAGGATGGAGTGCCAATGGGATTCAAAGCCTGTACCTTTCATAGGTAATGTGAACTTAAACAAGTCATGATGAGTTTTCAGTGTTTTCCCTAAGAACCGGCAACCAGCCAAATTAACCGCTTCAATTGACAAAAATGCCGCTTTGAAATAACAATTTGTTGTAAGCTCCACAGAGATTTTGTTCATAAACTTCATACCCTAGCCTGTTATAACTGATCTCTAACCCTTTACTTTGAAATAAAAGGAAAACACTGAGTTTTTTTGGGCATTTCAATCAGAATAATCCAGCTTCTGTTCAATTTAAAGGCCTCCTTATCCTTACATTCTGCTTCAACAAGAGATATTTCTCAAAATTGTTCATTGTTAATATACTTTTAAGAAAGTTTTAAATTTCAACTTTTATTCTCACTGAAAAATATTCCAAAGCTAACTAAGAATCAAAAGTTCTGTCTATTAAACGTGATAATCAGGCAGGTTTTTTTTTTTTTGCCTGTGGACAGGAAGTAAAAATAATTCAGTTGGGACTTGGGAGACCACCTTTAGACTTTAGGAACCCTATTGGAATTTTTGTTTGTCCCATCACTTTTTCGACATTCCTGTTACATACCGTAAAATTGGTGTATGAATTCATAATAAATTTAAAATATTTTTTCAGGGTGATTAAAGATTTCATGGTACAAGGTGGTGACTTTATAAAGGTAATGTTTTTTCTCTTGCAATTTTTTTTTTGGTTGCGCCTGAAAAGCAGAGGGGTAACTACATTGGCAAATGGCAAATGGACTTTTATGATTAAATTGAATCTATTATTGAATGACATAATGTACTCGTAATGCTAATGTGGTTATTAAGTAAATATTTTGTCTGCCCAATATTTGGAGAACCCTTCGCTCAACAGAGATCAAACTTTGTATCGTGGTTGTCCTGAACTATATGTAATAGATATATCATTCTTTTATTTTTTTTTACTATCATTGTAGAGATTCTTAATTTAATATTGATCCCTTCAAAATTGCTTTATATGCTATATTGAGGTATACAATATATACTTTATATTTGTGTATGCACCATTTTTTTTCGTACAGAACTCTGAAGTTGAGGACCACTTTGTAAATAATGAATATCCCAGTTTAAACTTCAACCTTTACACACCAAGGCTGTATGACACACATATATTTCATTTTACTCTTCAGTTGTTACTTTCTGATTACAGGGAGATGGCACTGGTGTCTGCAGCATTTATGGAGGAGGACCCTTTGCCGACGAAAATTTTAAACTTAAACACACTGGACCTGGAATGCTTTCTATGGTACAGTCATGTTATGAGAATTAAATATTACCCAAGGACATAACTCTAATTCTCAAGCAAATGCATGTTTTGAATTTGTGTGATTTGTATTGAATATTTGTTTTAATTTTTGTGAATATCTGAACATTACATTGTTAACCTAATTTATTTAATGTAACAGTTAACTTATCAATTACTATAGTGTGCTACCAATTCAATTTAATAATTGATTGAAACTTTGGTCCCTTTGCAACACTATTTGAGCTATACTTATGAAGCCAAATGATTTTTCTTGTGTATCTGAAACAGACTTATTTCGTATTTACCTCAGGCAAACAGCGGCAGAGACACAAATGGCTGTCAATTCTTCATCACGTGTGCAGCGTGTGATTTCCTAGACAACAAGCATGTTGTATTTGGTATGGTTTTTCTCATAATATCCTAAAAAATAAACTATCGTAATGTAATTTTTTGAAAATTAAAAATAGTTCACAATAGTAGTTGTCTACTTGAAATACTCCCATTCTTCTCTCTTGCTGCAGATTATGTACATCATAACATCTCTGTATTGTTTGTAAACAAGAAAAAAAAAGATTTAAAAATGTACTTAAGCTGTTAGATAAGTAAGTAAGTAATTACAGATCTATTGTTCATTTCAGGAAAAGTAATTGATGGACTACTGGTTTTAAGAAAAATTGAGAATGTGCCGACAGGACCAAACAACAAGCCAAAGATTGCTGTAGTCATAACGCAGTGTGGGGAAATGTGAAGCTAATACAAGTGTAGTACTGTGAAAATGACTGATACAGTATAGTACTGTGAAAATGACTGATACAGTAATAACTTGACAGGACAATCCTGGAGATGAAGAACATGACTGGTTACAAAAGCTATGTATATTCTGACCATGTTAACAGAGACGTGAAGGGGCATCAAAACCTCACTTCAGCAGTCAGAATGAGATTGAGGTCATATGACATTTTTGTATCAACAAACTACTTGCAAATACTATTTATTTGTTGTGCAGAATACCCTCCAGTGCAAATAAGGGAAAAGATTAGCCTTTTTTATACTTTTCACATGTATAATGGTACCACAATGTGTTCTCTGTTGTTACCAAGCAAAAAAAAATTTTAAAAACATGAATTTTTATGCCCCGCCATGAATATTCATGGCCAGGGCATATAGTGTTTGTCATGTCCGTCTTCCGTCTAGCTGTCCTTTTGTCCTTCTGTCTGTCCTTCCGTCACACTTTGTGTTTAGCTCTGTTCAAAGCTAAGTTTCAAAGAAACTATCCAAGATATTTTCATCAAACTTCATATGCTGATAGATATTGATGAGAGCTATGCAACTGCATCAACATTTTTTTACCTTGACCTTTCCTTTAACCTTGACCTCACTTTTCTTAGTGTTTCGCTTAGTTTTAAAGATACCATTCAAGATATTTTTATCAAACTTCATATGTTGATACATATTGATGAGAGATATGCAACTGCATCAACATTTTTGACCTTGACCTTTCCTTTGACCTTTGACCTCACTTTTCCTAAATCAGTGTCAAACTTCATATGCTGATACATACTGATGTAAGCAATTCAACTGCATCAACAATTTTGACCTTGACCTTTTATTTGACCTTGACCTTTATCAAATTGTGTTTAAGTCAGTTTTAATTAAAGACATCATTTCTAGATATTATTATCAAACTTCATATGTGACACATATTTATGAGAGATATGCAACTGCATCAACATTTTTGACCTTGACCTGTGCTTTGACATTGACCTTACTTTTACTAAATTAGTGTCAAACGTCATAAGCTTGCTGCTGATAGATATGAGTTTAGCATTTTAAGTGTATCATCATTTTTTACCTTGACCTTTCATTTGACCTTGACCTCACTTTTATCTACTTGTGCTTAAGTCAGTTTTAAAGAAACCATTTATAATATTTTTTCAACTTCATAACCTGATACTTACTGATGAGAGCTTTTCAACTGAATCAACAGTTTTTGACCTTGGCATTTCCTTTGACCTTGGCCTCACTTTAATGAAATTAGTGTCAAACTTCAGATGCTGATACATACTAATGTAAGCAATTCAACTGATCACTATTCAAGATATTCTGATCAAATTTTATACAGGTACAAATTTTCATGTTGCTTTATTAATATACCCTTGGCGGGGCATTCATGTCCTATGGACATATTTCTAGTTTAAAATAAATTCTGCAATCACTAAAGAATTTCATGCGTTTTATGATTAAATGATTTATGTCAAGTAAAGGAGGTTAATCTTGTCAGGTTTAAATCTGTGTTTCGATATAAGAAATAGGTAATCAGAGATTACAGAGCTCACCTCAACAAACTTGTCTTTTAAGCAAGTCAAAATCCAATACTAAACTAATAATCCAGTGGTTTGCATCCCTACATGCATCATACATGCAAATTTGATTTAGGTAGGTCTTGGTTACTTAGGAATAGACCTGCTCTAAAACTTTTTAATTAGGTCATTTTTCTGGAAAATGTAAATCAAATCCAGTATCCAGAGCAACTGTGGTAGTGTGCGTCAATAAATGTTTCTTCAGTGCAAAGTTTAATGATTAGCATAAGTCTTATAATTTTAACCTGCATGGTCATATATCTGAAATGTAGGTCAAAGTCAGCATCTAGTGTGCACCCTGAGATATATCATCCATGCAAGTTTGGTCGAGGTAGGGCAGATTGTAGCTTCAGAGAGAACTAGCTCTGAAAACCTGGTCATTCATCCTGAAAATGTAGGTCAAATTTAGCATCAGACGCAAGCCTGGTAATGTGCATCTTTTGATGTATCATCCATCATGGTTATTCTTCAATGGAAATTTAAGCATCTGAAACCTTGACTTGTACAATGAAACACACATATTAGAAGGTTCCTCCATGAACCTATGATTAATGTAGGGCATAAAAGTGCTTGAAAAGAAATCTGCTCCAAAAACTTTCATCTGGGATGCTGGCACCAAGGGTACTTCATAAGCACCCTCTAACTTAGTTGAGGTGAGCTAAAAGTGTCAGATTATGTGCTGATAACTCTATAGAATCTAATTATACGAGTTCCAGTTTAGGTTATGATATCCTTACTCTTATATACATGTAATATGTACAAGTAATATTTCTTCACTAAAAGCATCACAAAGAGCTAAGTCGGTAAAGCTTATAAACAATTCTTTATTTAAAATTCTGTTGATGCATGCAATAATATATAAAGATAAATTGTTTGTGTTGTGCATTTCACTTTTCCAACAAGTATTGTTTGTACAGTCTTTCGTTTTCAGAATCCTTGAATTTAGGCACAAAATTAACACGAACAATTTCTTTGAAGCCCTCAGATAACTCTGGAGTCTTTAGTTTAGATCTGTAAAGTAAATTTTATATTAAAAATTGAAAGAAATAGAGATTCCTTTATCTAGAGGTTAAAAATTACATGTAGTGAAAAAGAAAAGGAACAAAAATAAGGCAGGATAAATGAACAGACAGAAACAGAGTTTATGTTTTATATCCCCCTCCCTTTCCAACTTTTGAGTAGTATTAGCAAGTACATGTATTAGGACACTTTTCTATATATTTGGCAGAGGAAATATAATTCCTGCACACTCTGTTTTGCTACTCACTTGAATGTGTTCATTATCATGTCATTGATTGGTTGGTGAGACTTGTCAATCATCTCCCTGTACTATAAATAAAAAAAAATATTTTCATCAATCCACTACAAATGTCATAAAATATGCAAAGGAAAGTGGTTTTCATCATATAAATTATTAGAATACGAGAATATGTACAGTGTATCTTAAATCAAATTGTTTTATCATTTTCTGCTGAATGTTTATCAATGCCTCAAAGCTGGCTCCAACACAGCTCCTTGTTATGCCTTTAATACCCCCCTCCTCCCTTGATATACCTACCCTTTTATTGTGTCTGGCCTGTGTTGTTATACCTACCCTTTCACTGTGTCTGGCCTGTATTGTTATACCTACCCTTTTATTGTTTCTGGTCTGTATTGTTATACCTACCCTTTTATTGTGTCTGGCCTGTGTTGTTATACCTACCCTTTTATTGTGTCTGGCCTGTGTTGTTATACCTACCCTTTCACTGTGTCTGGCCTGTATTGTTATACCTACCCTTTTATTGTTTCTGGTCTGTATTGTTATACCTACCCTTTTATTGTGTCTGGCCTGTGTTGATATACCTACCCTTTTATTGTGTCTGGCCTGTGTTGTTATACCTACCCTTTTATTGTGTCTGGTCTGTATTGTTATACCTACCCTTTTATTGTTTCTGGTCTGTATTGTTATACCTACCCTTTTATTGTGTCTGGCCTGTGTTGATATACCTACCCTTTTATTGTGTCTGGCCTGTGTTGTTATACCTACCCTTTTATTGTGTCTGGTCTGTATTGTTATACCTACCCTTTTATTGTGTCTGGCCTGTATTGTTATACCTACCCTTTTATTGTTTTCTGGTCTGTATTGTTATACCTACCCTTTTATTGTGTCTGGCCTGTGTTGTTATACCTACCCTTTTATTGTGTCTGGCCTGTGTTGTTATACCTACCCTTTTATTGTGTCTGGCCTGTGTTGTTATACCTACCCTTTCACTGTGTCTGGTCTGTATTGTTATACCTACCCTTTTATTGTGTCTGGCCTGTGTTGTTATACCTACCCTTTCACTGTGTCTGGCCTGTATTGTTATACCTACCCTTTTATTGTTTCTGGTCTGTATTGTTATACCTACCCTTTTATTGTGTCTGGCCTGTGTTGTTATATCTACCCTTTTATTGTGTCTGGCCTGTGTTGTTATACCTACCCTTTTATTGTGTCTGGCCTGTGTTGTTATACCTACCCTTTCACTGTGTCTGGTCTGTATTGTTACACCTACCCTTTTATTGTGTCTGGCCTGTGTTGTTATACCTACCCTTTCACTGTGTCTGGCCTGTATTGTTATACCTACCCTTTTATTGTTTCTGGTCTGTATTGTTATACCTACCCTTTTATTGTGTCTGGCCTGTGTTGTTATACCTACCCTTTTATTGTGTCTGGTCTGTATTGTTATACCTACCCTTTTATTGTGTCTGGTCTGTATTGTTATACCTACCCTTTTATTGTGTCTGGCCTGTATTGTTATACCTACCCTTTCACTGTGTCTGGCCTGTATTGTTATACCTACCCTTTTATTGTTTCTGGTCTGTATTGTTATACCTACCCTTTTATTGTGTCTGGCCTGTGTTGTTATACCTACCCTTTCACTGTGTCTGGCCTGTGTTTGTTATACCTACCCTTTTATTGTGTCTGGCCTGTGTTGTTATACCTATCCTTTCATTGTGTCTGGCCTGTGTTTGTTATACCTACCCTTTCACTGTGTCTGGCCTGTGTTTGTTATACCTACCCTTTTATTGTGTCTGGTCTGTGTTGTTATACCTACCCTTTCACTGTGTCTGGCCTGTGTTGTTATACCTACCCTTTTATTGTGTCTGGCCTGTGTTGATATACCTACCCTTTCATTGTGTCTGGTCTGTATTGATATACCTACCCTTTCACTGTGTCTGGCCTGTATTGTTATACCTACCCTTTCACTGTGTCTGGCCTGTGTTGTTATACCTACCCTTTCACTGTGTCTGGCCTGTATTGTTATACCTACCCTTTCATTGTGTCTGGTCTGTATTGATATACCTATCCTTTCATTGTGTCTGGCCTGTATTGTTATACCTACCCTTTCACTGTGTCTGGCCTGTGTTGTTATACCTACCCTTTCACTGTGTCTGGCCTGTATTGTTATACCTACCCTTTTATTGTGTCTGGTCTGTATTGTTATACCTACCCTTTTATTGTGTCTGGCCTGTGTTGATATACCTACCCTTTCATTGTGTCTGGCCTGTATTGTTATACCTATCCTTTCATTGTGTCTGGCCTGTGTTTGTTATACCTACCCTTTCATTGTGTCTGGTCTGTATTGTTATACCTACCCTTTCATTGTGTCTGGCCTGTGTTTGTTATACCTACCCTTTCATGTTGTCTGGCCTGTGTTGTTATACCTACCCTTTCACTGTGTCTGGCCTGTGTTGTTATACCTACCCTTTTATTGTGTCTGGCCTGTGTTTGTTATACCTACCCTTTCACTGTGTCTGGCCTGTGTTTGTTATACCTACCCTTTCACTGTGTCTGGCCTGTATTGTTATACCTACCCTTTCATTGTGTCTGGCCTGTGTTTGTTATACCTACCCTTTCACTGTGTCTGGCCTGTGTTGTTATACCTACCCTTTTATTGTGTCTGGCTGTATTGTTATACCTACCCTTTTATTGTGTCTGGTCTGTATTGTTATACCTACCCTTTTATTGTGTCTGGCCTGTGTTGTTATACCTACCCTTTTATTGTGTCTGGCCTGTATTGTTATACCTACCCTTTTATTGTTTCTGGTCTGTATTGTTATACCTACCCTTTTATTGTGTCTGGTCTGTGTTGTTATACCTACCCTTTCATTGTGTCTGGCCTGTGTTGATATACCTACCCTTTCATTGTGTCTGGCCTGTGTTTGTTATACCTACCCTTTTATTGTGTCTGGTCTGTATTGTTATACCTACCCTTTTATTGTGTCTGGTCTGTATTGTTATACCTACCCTTTTATTGTTTCTGGTCTGTATTGTTATACCTACCCTTTTATTGTGTCTGGCCTGTGTTGATATACCTACCCTTTCATTGTGTCTGGCCTGTGTTTGTTATACCTACCCTTTCATTGTGTCTGGCCTGTATTGTTATACCTACCCTTTTATTGTGTCTGGCCTGTATTGTTATACCTACCCTTTTATTGTTTCTGGTCTGTATTGTTATACCTACCCTTTTTTTGTGTCTGGTCTGTGTTGTTATACCTACCCTTTCATTGTGTCTGGCCTGTGTTGATATACCTACCCTTTCATTGTGTCTGGCCTGTGTTTGTTATACCTACCCTTTTATTGTGTCTGGTCTGTATTGTTATACCTACCCTTTTATTGTGTCTGGTCTGTATTGTTATACCTACCCTTTTATTGTTTCTGGTCTGTATTGTTATACCTACCCTTTTATTGTGTCTGGCCTGTGTTGATATACCTACCCTTTCATTGTGTCTGGCCTGTGTTTGTTATACCTACCCTTTCATTGTGTCTGGCCTGTATTGTTATACCTACCCTTTTATTGTGTCTGGCCTGTGTTGTTATACCTACCCTTTCATTGTGTCTGGCCTGTGTTATTGTGGCAGTGAAGAAAAAACATCTACAGGGTACCTTCGCTGTCTTGGCACAGTTTATATACCTTAAGAGTGAAAAAAATCTTTTAGTAGCAAAATCAAGAATTAACGCTTACATTGAAGTGATTTTCATTCCCAATGGCTTTAAAATAAACCGCAAAGTTTATGGATATAATAAATTATATTTATAACAAGGAAAAATTACCCTTCCCTGAACATGTTTTACTGCAAGAGAACACAAACAGATGATATAACACTCTGTCCCTCTCTAACTGTGTACTAATATGTTGAGTATTGTGAGTACTTTCCATTGCTTGGTTTCTTTGTCTGGGTCAGTATTATCAATGAAAACACTCTGTCCCTCCCTCAGTGACTTAGTGTACTTATATTGTACTTTATGGAGTACTGTGTGTAGTTACCTCTGCCTGGTTTCTTTGTCTGGGTTAGTATTATCAATGACCACACTATGTCCCTCTCTCAGTGACTTAGTATACTTATATTGCACTAAGTACTGTGAGTAGTTACCTCTGCCTGGATTCTTTGTCAGGGTTAGTATTATCAATGACCACACTCTGTCCCTTTCTCAGTGACTTGGCACACATATCTACACATTTCTTCCAAGTTCCTAGAGTGTCCTATTGAAGAATTTTTTTTGTAAAACTATCTTTCATACACATGAGCACTGTACTGTGCTTGAGTTTTATATTTAACATAAATGTGCTTAGCTCAAGTTTATTTTCATACACATGCACTACCAGCTTTTTACATCACCTTTGCTTCAAAAAACATTATCAGTATTTATAATGATGTAAAAAAAATTTCATATTCCTATTTAAATATTTTAGAAGTTTATTAAATTCTAAATTTTTTCTGGCACATTAAGTATACATCTTTATTTCTTTAACAGACTTTTCAGGTCTTTCCTAACCTTGATCAGCCTACAGTATCGGGGACCTATATACTAAAAGGATAGGCAACTCCTTCATCGTCATGTTTATTTACCCAAAACATCACGCACAACACTACAAGTTTTTCAAACTACATTTATTCCCAGTAAATAGCCTGTTTTCTGATTAATGTCATTTTTTCCTTTCATGTATTGGAATGGATTTTTAATAAATTTTTAAACATAAATTTTAATATAATTTAAATATAAAGAAAATAAACTCTGCAATTGGTCAATTCTTAGAAATACCACAGATCAGGGGAATGTGCTGATTTTGAATAAAACGAAATTACTACTAAGGAGAATAATCCTGCTAAAAAAGAAATCTTGAATAAATTTTTGATATATAATTAAAGGTTCTGATGAAAAATTTGATAGCATTACAGATATAATTGATTAAAGTACTCTTACAAAATCCCACCACTTACAAGATATCGCGAGATTTGCTTATCCAGTTAGTATCTAGGTCCCTGACAGTATCTATACTTATTAAATATTCTGTACATTCTTACCCTATTGACATGCACATATCCTTTAGGAATCATGTAAGTTTTCGAAAAGAATGATTTGCCACCTGAAAAAAAAAACACAAAACCATATAACCTGCTTAGAATCTGTTATGAAAATTAACTTTTCACTTATAGTACATGTATATAAATGTATATATTTATCCCCCTTTACAAAGCAATCCTTTTTTGAAAATTTACAAATGTGAGAGAGTAAGGAGAGAATCATATTTATTCATTCAGATTGCTTTGTTTAACAAAAATGCTAAGGAAACTTCCTAATATTAAAATAATATACAACTTACAGGCTGGAAATCCTACCAAGACAACAACCTCCTGTGATTTAGAGGTTACAGAGGCACTGGGAGGATCTAAAAGGGGGGCACGTGTGTCTATGGCTCTCTGAAATATAGATGTTAAAAGCATAAGAATGATTTGCTTTCATACAATCTGGAGACTTAAAAAATTCCACCCATTTTTCACTTTTGATACTAACTGGGTCAAACTCTGGTAAAGAAAAAGGAGCTGCCTTCTGGAACATGAAGAACTCCTCAGGAGTGTAAAATCTCAGCCCGATATTCAGGGAAAACTGGAATTAAAATCATCTTTTCTTTGTCAGTGCAAAAATAAGTCAAAAAAAAAAAACTGACATGAATCAGAGCAACTTATCTGTGTAAAAACAACATATTTCATGACCAAATAAAAAGGACACATATTATGTTATATGAAACAAAAACACTTAATATCAGTCATATTACTCTGCAATCTCTTACCAGCCTATCACTGCAAGAAAAATCCTTCTTCTTTTTGGCTGCCCATTTCTCTGGCCTCCCAGCAGCATCTACAGCGCACCACAAGAAATGGTGAAAAGGTACATCATATATCATTTGAATACAGTTTGAAATATCAACCTTTATGGCCATGACCTTGAGACAAAATAAGTGCTTACCTCCCACATATAAGCTGTCATTAATATCAATTTTAACACCATTATTGGCTTTCTGAAAAGTAAAAATAGAGTTTAATATTTCAATACATATTGAATCTCATTACATTTTTAAGACTAGGAAGTTGACTATTTTTTACTTTTATATTTTTTTACCTGACGAAGAAAGTCCCACATTCCTCGGGCTGGCTTCCGGTAGACTCCACCCCCAGTGGATATAAGAATCTATCAGCAAATTGTATACACTTGTGTTATATTATCAAACTTGATAGATTAAATAAGACATTATTTTCCATGTAAATTAACATAAAAATTGTAGAGTTGTAGAGAATTTCCTTTTGGATAGCCAAGAGAATTAGCAGTTAATTTTGTGGTCAATTTTTCCCTAAACATAAACCATTTTCATCAATTTCTTAATTCTTGTTCAGAGCAAACAGCAGGACTCGAGAAAACTCTGATGAGGTTTCAATAAAATTAATTTATGCCAAAAATACCTGTGCAGGAACTCCAAGTTTATCAAGAACACTGCTAAATTTAGTCTTTAATTCTTCAATAGTAGTCTTTCCTCTAGAAACACCCAGCTGTCAAACATAAAACAGATACATGAAAACATCTTCCACTATACAGTGTCATCTTGTTTTGGATTTTAATTATTATGTTATTCGTACCCGATTTTTAAAGAAATCAATCTTTTACCTAATATGAAGTGATCTCATTCTTACCTGGTTTGTAAAAAAGACAATCTTGTAGCCATCGTTATGCAATTTTTTCAGCCTCCCTGGAATCTCCGGATAAAGAATTCTGAAATGCCAGTGATAACATGGTCTAAATATAGACTAAATAATCTGACAAACAACTCCTTCACCTTCCTAAAAAAATCACAGGTATATTGTAAGGCATGTTTCAGATTCAATTGTACTTCATGCAAGTAAACTCCAACCTAGCCCAAACTGAACATTTACTTGCCTGAGGAAATTAGACATATTAATGTTGATCCCTGATATAGATTGGTACTTACCTCCAGTCACCAGAGTGAGTAGGAAACGTTTTACCAGACTGGGTTGTTATAATGGTTCCATCAATATCAAACCCAGCAATCTAAGAAAAAAAAAACACCATGCACAAGTTTTTTTTCAGAATTTTGTCTGGCATGATAATGTCGATTAGAGAAGAATCATTTTCACTGAATGTTTTGAAAGATTTAAATGTCAAATACCCAAACAATCTTCAAGCATGCAATAAGTTTGAATGTGTTATTAATTGAAATTTTCACATAATTCACAATATTATCTCTTACCTTACTTCTGGCCATCACTCCTTTCCGTGTACACACATACAGTTTCTCAAACTGCTGCCATTTAGTCTCTGTTGCTGGTGGACCCTCTGTTACCTGAACAGATTTACTTATAGAACCAGATCCAGCTGAAGTGTTCATAGCTGAGGGACTCTTGGATGAACCAGATCCAGAGTTCTGAGTTGAGGGTTTCTTTGGTGATTCAACAGCAGCTGCCTTTTCTTTACCTCCAGTCAAGATGGTTTTCTGTCCATTTTTGGATGGCACATCTTGACTGTCTGGAGTGAATGTAAACTTTTTCTCAGCAGCATTTTTCTTTAGAATTTTTAGTTTTTGTTCCAGAAGTTTTATATCCTCCTCATCTTCCTCTATAGTTCTATTTGCTGAATCATTCTTCATATCTACATCATTAGACTTTCCTTTATCCTTTGAGTCAGATTTTCTGGGCTTTTTCGCCTCCTGACCAGAATCAGTGTTATTAGATGCAGGCCTTTTGACTGATTGCCGCTTCTTTTCCTTTAAATTGTTTTTAAGGTCCTCAGTTGTTACTGTACTGGTTGATTTTGGGGACTTCACATATTTGAATTTGACTTTCTGAGGATACAATCCAGCCAAAAGATATATAGTGCCATCTGCTGACAGCTTGCATGTTCTGTCTGCAATACATAAAACAAACAGATTAAATACATGTACCCTGACAAGATAGTATTGCATTTGGACTTATACCTGATATCAATGGACACATTTTGTTGATTTAAGATGATTCTATACAAGTCAAAATTGATAAATTGCTAAAAATCAGTGTAAGTAAAACTGTTTGTATTATGTAAGTAGCTGCAGGCTTTAAAAATATGGTCATTGTATCTTTAAGTAAATTACTGTCACAAATGTAATACCAATATTTTCACAGCAAGTCTGAGTTGTACCGAGTCTTGCAATCCTGTGCTCTAAATATACAGTGCATGTTTTGCATTTTATCAATGCTGAAATACATGTAAATGATAGTTGGAAGTCCTGATGGTCATTTTCTTTATTCAGTACCTTTCTCTAGCTCTATTCCATCAATGGCCGAGGAGTTGGCACCCAGCTGTTTAACCGTCACTTCTCCCGTCGACCAATCAGCAGTCACCTCCACTGAATAACCAAAAATATAATTTTTACTGCATGGCTACATTGGGCAAAAAATCAACAAACAACATTTGATTTATGATCACTCTACTGGATACAACTGGACAATATGTTACTACTGACATTACTCATATCTAGTAAGAAAAACAGTAAAACATGCTTACAATGATTTAACACAATTTTATACAGAAGTGATTTTCATAAAATAAAACACAATTGTATATTTTTTACAAATTATGCTTATAACAGAATAATACTGTATAAGAGTAAGAAATTTGGACCATTTCTGGCATTTCAAATTTATTCACATCTATCTCCATGTAAAAACACTTAGTTTTCCCAATAATTTTCTGGATACAGGTCCAGCACAATACCCTGATAAAGGTATATACAGACCTGTTTACCCTTATTGTTGTCTCTCAGTATTTTTGATCAGATTTGTCCGTGAGATTTAACATTTGCCAGTAAGATTTCGCTTTCCATTGATTTTACGTATATAATTGGAGAGCAAATGCTTTTTGATTACTAAAACATGGTTAAATACATGTAACATGTTCTTTTCATGTTATACCACAGCATTTTTGATAACTGGAAATCGACGATGTGCTTGATTTTTTTTAACAGTGATTAAAGGGCGTGAAACGGACAGATCATAAGCATGGTCGATTGATTGTTTAATGTCTGTCGCAAAATTTTTTAGTCATTAAGAAGCCACCACCTGCCCGGCCGTGAAGAGCTGCAAATTTTGCTCTCTACTCAGCACTCAGTACCATTGAGCAGGGAGGGTTCTGTTTCGTGCCAGCACCTAATGCGACACGGTTTATACGGTCTGATTTGAAGGACCGGTCTCCAAGGCGCACTAGTGTGATCCGAACCCTCGATATAAGGAGAAAGTCCTTACTGTGCACTACACAGAGTAGACGCTCTAACCACTGCGCCAGGCGGGCGACCAGATCATAACGATTGATTGTCAATAATTGTTGCTGTTTTAAGCCGAGTCGGCATTCTTTCAGCTTTATTGCAGCAGATCAGAATGAAAACTAACTGCAAAATTCCAAACGAAGACATTTCCCTATTTTCATAATAGCAAAACGTGAGACGTAATTTGGATTAAAAATCCGTAAAAAATACGGCGAAATCGTAAGAGTAAACACCTCTGTATATAGCTTGATAAAGCTATAGGTATATAGCTTGATAAAGTTATATAGCTTTATCTAGGTATTACAAATACCTTGATCAAGGTATTTTATGTAACGAAAATTCAAAAAAAAATCTTAAACCAGAAGTCTCTGTCGAGACTGTAGCTCTACTGGTTTGTACTTATAATGGATGAGAAAAGAAGCCATTGCCATCAGACCAAAACTGTAGAAGGAGTAGCGTTTTAAAGGAATTTCACAGAAAATTCTATTTTTAGTAACCATGGCAACACCGTTCATCAAAATCGGAAACCGATGCACAATTTTATGTATCTTAGTGTAGTCTACTTGTGTGCCAAGTTATTTTAAAATCAGACCAAAACTGTACAAGGAGTAGCATTTTAAAGGAATTTCAAAGAAAATTATATTTTTAGTTACCATGGCAACACCGTTCATCGAAATCAAAATCCGATGCTCTATTTTATGTATCTTAGTGTAGTCTACTTGTATGCCAAGTAATATTGAAATCAGACCAAAACTGTAGGAGGAGTACCGTTTTAAAGGAATTTCACAGAAAATTCTATTTTTAGTAACCATGGCAACACCGTTCATCGAAATCAAAAACCGATGCACTATTTTATGTATCTTAGTGTAGTCTACTTGTGTGCCAAGTTATACTAAAATCAGACCAAAACTGTAGGAGGAGTAGCGTTTTAAAGGAATTTCACAGAAAATTCTATTTCTAGTAACCATGGCAACACCGTTCACTGAAATCAAAAACCAATGCACTATTTTATGTATCTTAGTGTAGTCTACTTGTGTGCCAAGTTATTTTAAAATCAGACCAAAACTGTACAAGGAGTAGCGTTTTGAAAAATTGTTTACAGACAGACAGACAGACAGACAGACAGAAGGACGGACGACGGACACCTTACTATCGCATAAGCTCTTCTGGTCTCTGACCAGTAGAGCTAAACATAGGTAATCAGAGATTACAGAGCTCACCTCAACGAATGTTGTCTTTAAGTAAGGCAAAGTCACACAATTCACCAAAAAAAGTGTACATCCCAAAATGAAAATATTTATGCAAATTTGATCTGATACTTTGGAATAAAGCTATATAAAAACTTCAAACTAGTTCTTTTTCATGAAAATGTAATTAAAATCCAGCATCTGAAGCAAATTTGAGAGTTTTCATCCCTTGATGCATCATTTGTGCAAGTTTGGTTTATACAATGTTATATAAGCCTTATAGTTTTTTGGTAATAGACGTGCACCCATAACTTTTACCTGGTCCATTTTCTGAAAAATGTATGTCTAATTCAGCATCCGAAGCAAGTCCATTAGTGTGCATCCTAAGATGTGTCGTCTATGCAAGTTTGCTCATTATAGGGCTCATAGTTACTTGGAAATGAAAGGCACCAAAAACTTTAACATGTTCACTCAACCGGAAAATGTAGGTCAGATACAGCATCCAAAGTAAGTCTGGTAGTATGCATCCTTAGATGTACCATCCATGCAAGTTTGGTCATAATAGGGCTCAAAGTATCTTGGAAATGAAAACTGCACCTAAAACTTTAACATGTGCACTCAACCGGAAAATGTAGGTCAGGTTCAGCATTCGAAGCAAGCCTGGTAGTATGCATCCTAATATGTATCAAACCTGCAAGTTTGGTCATTATAGTGCTCATAGTATCTTGGAAATGAGACCTGCACCAAAAACATTCACTTGTTCACTCAACCGGAAAATGTAGGTCAGATTCAGCATCCGAATCAAACCCGGTAGTGTACATCCTTAGATGCATCATCCATGCAAGTTTGGTCAACATAGGGCTTATAGTTCCTTGGAAATGACACCAACATCAAAAACTGCACCAAAAATGTTAACCTGCTCCAAAAACCTTAACCTGGTCATCCCTTTGCTGAAATTGCAGCATTTGAAACTTTGAATGGTACAATGAAACACACTAGAAGCATCTTCCATGCATGTCTAATCAATATAGGACATAGAAGTACTTTAAAAGAAAACTGCTCCAAAAAACTTAACCTGGGACGCCGACACCGACGCCGACGGGGACGCCGAGGGTATTACATAAGCTCCCCCAACTTCGTTGAGGTGAGCTAAAAATTAAATACTGAAAGTCGAGTTCTGAGTTGTTGTCAGTAAATTCACCCATGCATGTAAAGTACTCAAAAACAAAGAAATCAGAATAAAAGCATGTCATGTGAAGAGACATTCTTTTACAGGTCCAGTCCAAAGACTATTTCTACCTACGTAACTATTAAAAGCTACGTAGGTATTTAAACCTACCCAAAGTAGCTATTTTTACCTACTTTCTGCTTTCCTTGCATTTTGTAACCAAACACAGGAATGGCGCAACATGGTGAGCACTGAATTTCTTGATACAGTCACACTGATGATGAATATGACAAAAATTTGTCCAAAAAATGATTACTTCGTTTATTATCAGTTTTGCATAGAAACTAATGTAAAATTGCCGATTCAGGAAGTAATCATTTTTTGGCCAAAATTTCGTCATTCATCATTAGTGTGACTGTATCAAAATATATGGTATTCACCATGTTGCGCCTTCAGTCTTTTGGCCACAAAATGTAGATAATACAAAAAGTAGGTAAAAATATCTACTTTGGGCCATATAAAATTGAAATCTTGGTTCTCAGGCCCGCGCGCATCTGTTTTGAGGTAGCCGCATTGCCGTTTTTATTGTATTTTTGATAAAATAAAAAGTTTGTATTGCGGACACCAATCCGGGAAAAAAATTTCCGACCTCATTTGTTTCGTAATTTAGTATTCAAATATCACTTCCGGTAGCCATTTACAATGAGATTTTGGCTACTTCGTTTGAAAATACATTCAGGGACATTACCTACGATGTTTACACGCTGTTAAGCAATGGATAAAGCAGAAATTTTGACCAGAAATGGAAAGTATATCTGTGATTGAAAAAATTATCTTTAAGTTAAAGAAAATCGGAAATTAAAATTAAAAAAAATACCTCCCTCACCTACTTTATTGCCAATAAAATGAAAAATAAAATGCCGCCCTCCCGCATCTGTTGTGGAGAAGATTGGCCTGAGAACCAAGGAATTAAATTTAAATAGCCTTGGGTAGGTTTAAATATCCTGGCGTATTGTATTTTCGACCTATTTAGATGTTATTTATCAATTCATTGCAAACTTTATAGAATCTGAAAAAACATGGGCTTAAAATGTTAGCATATGTCTCTATAAAAAAATGATATAACCCAAATTGCAGTTTTGTGTTTATTTTATTTATATGTCATAATAAGGAGAGGGTACAGTTTTCCTTACAAAAATATTGGCGTCTTTGTGTTTTCGACCTAAATATAGTATCAACGACCAATCAGTATTGGCTATAAATATCCTCTGAATATTCCAAACAATAAAAATAAGACTGTCTGTCTTTCAAAAAAACATTGAACAAGTTGCATATTTTGGTTGCAAATACATTTATTCGTTGGTTGAACCCATCTGTCAGTAGCTGTGCATTTCCAAAAAAAAAATCAATGAAATTATGTTGCATTTTTCAGTAAAAATCTGTAAGAAAGTGCTCATATTTAAGGAAGAAAAAAAACTGTTTGATCCACCCATGCATTTCAATATTCATGCGTCTCTTTGACAGAGATCTTAATTTTCTTTCAGAAAAATGTCATCAAAAAATCTTTGTAATTAACCGATTACGGCTTTGATTAGTCAACAGATAAAATGTGCATTAGTAAAAAGACTAGAATTTCTGACATCGGACTAAAACCATCGGGGGAATTCCGCTGAATTAATTATTTTGGGTATTTTCGCTACAGTTGTGCTTCAAAGGTATTTTTCCAAGTGTAGCAACCGAAAATAATGTTCTACGGCGCGGAATCTGCACAGGAAGCAGATTGGGAAAAAGAGGTCGAAAATACAATACAGGATACGAGACGATACCTATTAATAGCTACGTAGGTAGAAATAGTCTTTGGACTTGACCTGTTTTATGCTATATTTTTGATACCAGAGTGCTTTTCATGTACGAGTGGGCATACTGACAAGAACTCAGAACTAATATTTAATTTTTTAAGAATTTTTTTTTGAATTTTCACTACATAAAATACCTTGATCAAGGTATTTGCAATATCTTGATAAAGCTATATAGCTTTATCAGGGTATTGTGCTGGACCTGGGATAAGCATACAATTCAACACTTATTATACTAAGTTAACTGTTTACATTGCTTCCTGGAACATCTGGGGTCGATACACCTGGTAGCTTCACTTCTACCCACGTGGACAGCCTCCCTGTCAGGAAGAGGGATGGGGTCGTGCGTGTTGTTTGGACAAACCAAGTGACAGCTTTTAATCATAGTCACTTATCTTACCGATCACTGACAAGACAACACAGTGCCCCTTTACCTCACAGTTATCTTCATGCAGAAATACAAATAACAGCGACAGTACATGTACACATCATGATAGTATTTCAACTTGTTTAGTTGTTAGTCTTATACACAGTTACAAGGTGGGAAAGTGGCGCACTGTGACTCTTCACTTTTCTACCTTCATATGTTGAAGAGCGTCTATTCTACGGAACCTCATAATGGAAATAAAATTGATTCACTCCTGGTGGAGTATTTTTTTTTTAGAGCTCACCTAAGCTAAAAGGTTAAGTGAGGCAGAGTGCTTCTGTCCATCCATCTGTCTGTCTGTCTGTGAAACGGTTCATAGTCTCATCTTCTCTCAAGAAGATATATTATGATGTGATAAGACCATGTGCATGATATGATGATATTAATATGATAAACTGTAAATAGATCGGCAAAAGTACATCAATCACTATACATTTGAAGGTGGTTTGTGATTCAAAGGAAGAAGAAGAAGAAGAACCACTTGACCAATTTTAATCAAAGTTGGTACAAATATTTGAATTATCGATCTTGGGTGAAAGGGAATTTTGGTATCATGTCATCATACATAAAACAAATACACATAATAAATTATATTAGTCCTTCGAAAAACTAAATTTGGCTACCCAGAAATTTTATACCGGGTATAGATTTATAGATATCAAGGTAAAATTGAGGAGAAAAAAAGAGAGGTCAAATTGTTGCATTGAAGGGCCAACCCCTTTGAAATAGGGAGATGATTGAGAAAAGACAAAAATTAGTAGCTAGGGTGAGGTTATTTAAAAATCTTCGTAAGACAATCTTCGCAAGACGTAGCCTGTCGTTAAATATTGATTTTATTTGAACAAATAATTTAACCGTGTCAGTCCCACCGAAGAGGGACATGCTCTCAGAACTGAACATGCTGCAATCACTAAAAAAATCATTATAGAATGCATCACCACAATGTAAAGAAATGAATTTTTAATTTGTATTCTTAACCATATTAATTATGACCTGATTAGAATTGCACCCTCTCAAGTCGTTATTGATTTGTTAGTGGACAAAGAACTGGCCTTTAAAATTTTCACCATGATAAAAATTGGGACATTCATTTACAAGGACACCGCATTTTAACCCGTGTTCAGTGCAGCTGTACTTTTCCCTTCTCTATCTCTGGTAAAATTCTAATTCATAGGGTATAAGTAGATACAAATTTAGGATTTGATCGACAAGTTGTTCTACTTTTTTTCTATTTACACACAGCCAGTAAATTCAAAAGAGAACACAAATTGTCTGTGCCACTTTGTCTGAAGGGATTATTCAATTACGTGTACATGTAATTAAAACATCGATCAATATTAATGTTACATATAAGCCAATTTCTGAAATGGTTGGGAACTAAATTACCGGGGTATAGAAATTCCAGAAACCTTTCCCTCTCAACAATCAATCAATCAATCAATAAAATGAAATAAAACAAAATTAAATAAATAAATAAAATATTGACAACAAATAATTTTGAATACCACTATTCCTTATTTCTATTTATCACAAAATACGTGTAGTACATCAAAATGCGTGAACGGTGCCTTACAGAGGTCAAGGATTTAGCCATATGAGATTTTTTTTTCATGATGTATAATTGTATATACATATGGTCAAAACGTGACATGAACCTGGTGAAAAATTCTGCAGTGATGACATTGATTTACCTCTCCACGGCCCAAAACTGTGACATTTATTTGCAGAGATATTATCGCATGTAAGAAGGAACCCTCCATGTTCCAAACAGCTGGTTTGGCCGTTTGTCAAGTTTTGTTGATCTTGTTGTATAATTTAAATTTGAGAGGTGGAAGTAAATACAAAATTTTGAACATGGCATGCATGCATTGTCTGCGCCATTTCATTTCAAATAAAATACAAATTTTTACTTATGTTACATAAAATGTATTTGAACAAATTTTTTAAAAAATACTGAATTAATAAACCCATAAATATAAAATATTTTTCTGGTGTTTTTCGCTGTGTACCGTTTAATGTATCTCAATTTCTTTTTTATGGTCTTTGTATGTATTTTTTCTCTTTTAGCCGAAATTATGCAATACATGAAATATAGCCATTTACAATGAATTGGAACAAAGTGATTTTTTGCAAATCAATTTTTTGCCGATATCAATAAATACCTCAAATAGACAAATACGTCTATACTGTGTCTAAAAGAGTAAAGGATTAGCTATAAAAACGAATAAAAATTTCCTAAAGGGATTATGACTCTGAATCTTTTATGACTTCAACACAAAGATGTATTATAGTATTGGTAAAATGACCATTTCAATTATGCTTAAGAGTCAAAATCAGCAAGCATCGAGCATTTAGTTAAAAAATGTGGAAACTGGCATAGAAACAGATTTGGTTAAAACTCATATATAAATTTTCAGATCAAAGGGTATAATAGAAAAAAGCAAGCCAAAAATAATTTTTCGCATTGTTGCTATGGAAACCACGCGCCTTTCAAATAGCGTGTTTTGTACTTTATCATGACACTTGAATTTATGGTTAAACAAATATTTTTTTATTACTAGTCATTAAAAAAAGCTTTTTAAATTATTATTTTATTTATATAAAAATACTCTATTTTAACAACTGTTGATTATTGAAATTCTTTTCACCTTTTGATAAATAAAACTAGTTTTTGGAGGTTTATTTTGCTTTAAAAACCAGCAAATTTGAAGTACTCTATAAGAAATCTACAACCACATAAAAGCTTATCAACATAAAATATATATTAAACAGTATTTGTTCTAGAAGAATCAAGAAAAAAATCTGCAGGCAACTAAAGCATTTATATATGATAACTGATTTAAATCCATAATTTTCTGTCACTTTTGCTTCAAATTACCTCCCTTTGGTATAGCTCTCTAACATAGGAGGAATAAACGGTAGTTTGCATACATTGTTTTCAATAACAGTGTACAGAAGACTAGCAGAAAATTACAAACTTGGAGCAGTCTGAGCCTCAGTTTTCGCGTTTTTATGAGTCTTAATTACGGTGAGTGACTGAAATTTTTATAATATACCATTACAACAGTTAGTGAAAAATGTATAACATAAATTAACCATGCAGTAAAATATGTAACACTTGGCAGGTGTTTTTTGCACATGTATTTCAATTTAATTCTGATTGATTACTAGTATATATGTTAGCATTACTTTAGTATTTTATAACTAAAAAGAAAAGATTATGCATTATATGAGGTACCAGGAGGAGGGTGTATCCCCCCTCATAATATTGCCGAGATAAAATGAAATTAAATTCCCCAACATAGATTGTTTCTGCGGGCCTAACGTGAAAAAGTTGGTCATGATCAGTTACTTAACTGTATCCCAAATTATAAAGTTTAATTTGAAATTAGTTATGTTCCCCAAACGGAGTTTGGGAACATATTGTTTTTACTCGGTTTCTTATTATTATTATTATTATGTTCCCCAAACGGAGTTTGGGAACATATTGTTTTTACTCGGTTTCTTATTATGTTCCCCAAACGGAGTTTGGGAACATATTGTTTTTACTCGGTTTCTTATTATTATTATTATTATTCTTTTTTTTCTTCTTTGTTCTCCGGTACTTTTTTGTCCGCGAGTGTTCTCAGAAACTGTTCACCCAACTAAGTTAAAACCTTTTTAGGGTTAATAGGTGTGTAGTGTAGGTGTGCGGAACGAAGGTCATTTTGCGCGCATTCGCATGCACGTGCGTGCGCGTAAAGTGAGTGAAATGACTGATATACTTTATATGGCTATAACTTTTACATTTTTTGATGAAATGCTTTGAAACTCATTACATAAGGATATATTAATAGTGTTAATAATATGACACTGTCAAATTAGCACGAACTCACGCGAATGCACGTGCACCTTGCTCTGATTGGCTGAAACAAAAATCTCAATATCTCTTTTGTTTTTAGACGAAATGCTTTGAAATTTTAAACGTTGTCATGAATTAAGACATCCTACAACAAAGTATGGAAAAAATTTCATGAAATCACGCGCATGCACGTGCGCTGCAATCTGATTGGCTGAAACTTTAAATAGCTATATCTCCTTTGTTTTTTGACGAAATGCTTTGGAATTTAAAACATAGTCTTGCATTAGAATATCCTGCAATATGATATACAAAAAATTTCAACAAATCACGCGCATGCACGTGTGCTGCAACCTGATTGGCGGAAAATTTAAATGGCTATATCTCGTTTGTTTTTTGACGAAATGCTTTGAAATTTAAAACATATTCATGCATTGGGATATCCTACAATATGATTTAGAATAAATTCATGAAATCACGCGCATGCACGTGTGCTGCAATCTGATTGGCCGAAACTTGAAATGGCTATAATTCCCTTGGTTTTCAACCAAACAGGATGGGATTTAGAATATAGATAGATATAAGGGCCTCCTACAAGAAGGTATGGTCATCATGCACGCGCACGCACGTGCGTGCATTTGGAACGAGTGAAATAAAAAATACACTTGAATGAGTGATTTTTAATACTTTTGGACTAAATGGTTTAATATATAGTATATTTAAATACATAGAAAATTGTAGACAAGATGATATGATCATTACGCACGTGCATTCACATGCACACGCGTGCAATGTTCAAATTTGAATATAATTGGTATCCATCTGGGAAAACGTTGTTAAAGGCAAAAATTGCACAGATGTTGTCTTATTTAATAAGGCTTAAATGGAATATGGCACCAAAAGGGAGTTGGGGAGAGTTTGGGGAACATCTGTAACGGTCCCCGTTACAATTAGCACTAGTTATTATGTTCCCCAAACGAAGTTTGGGAACATATTGTTTTTACTCGGTTTCTTATTATTATTATTATTATTCTTTTTTTTCTTCTTTGTTCTCCGGTACTTTTTTGTCCGCGAGTGTTCTCAGAAACTGTTCATCCAACTGAGCTAAAACCTTTTTAGGGTTAATAGGTGTGTAGTGTAGGTGTGCGGAACGAAGGTCATTTTGCGCGCATACGCCTGCACGTGCGTGCGCGTGAAATGAGTGAATTGACTGATATACTTAATATAGCTATAACTTTTACATTTTTTGATGAAATGCTTTGAAACTCATTACATAAGGATATATTAAAAGT